GATTATTGTTGTTTGCTCTTCGTTTGGTGTTAGGATTGCTTGAGAACTCAAGTTTACCCTTAGGGTTACTTGCGAACTCAAGTATTTCCTATCATATTCTTTACTAAAGCTTGTGGGAATTCTTTTCACTTTGTTTCTACACGTTTAAAAAGGAAATCAACGTTACCAAAAGTGCTAGACACCCTCAAGGTGATACTGTTTCCCAATACCAGAGGCTTTAGGCACCACCCTAGGTGCTTGATCAAGTAAAGTGATGTGAAACATAAATGCCATGTACTTGTCTAGGTGGCAAGATTAATTAAATCCCAATCAATTTGGGGAGAGAGAATGAAAATCTGAAATTAAATTTCAGATTAAGTGGAATTGGCGGGATGAATTTGAATTTAAACTCAAATATAATTGGGAGAATTAAATTGGATGAGAGGGAATTGTGAGAGGTAATTATGGAGGCTTAATGAGGGGGCCTATTAATGAGATAGGAGAGAGATGAGAAATTTTAAGTAGGTGAGGACCACAATTAATTAATCAAAATCTGAAATTTAGATTTCAGATTTTAATTATATCATGTAACTCCCTTCTTTAAAGAAAATTGGGAGGGAATATGAATTTCAAAAAGATTGTAACTCCCCGTAATTAATATCCTAATTTAATTTGACTTAATTAGAAAATTCATTAGGGGAGGGGAATTCAAAATTCGAATAGGTGGGCTAGAGGGAAACCGGCAGCAAGGCTTCACGGGTGGCCGGCGGCAAGGACTCCATGGTGGACGGTGGGACGCTGGGCGGTTTTCTGGCCGGCGGTTGGCTAGGGGAAAGGGGCGGCGGCAAGGATCCGAGGGAGGAAATGGGCAATTCTACTAGGGATAACTATGCCACGGATTCACCTTGATTTCCCACACCAATTGATCACAAAGATAATGGAGAAGAAGGTCTAGAAATCACAAAGAGATCTAGCTCTTCTCAAAACTCACTAAGAGATTTGAGAGAGAGATGCACTCACAAAGAGAACACAAAGTAGAGAACTCACTAAGAGATCTCAAAAATAAAAGAACTCACTAAGAAATTTAAAAGATGGAACTCACAAAGAGAACGCAAAAAACAAATTTTCATAAACCATTCATCATCCCATTACATAAGAAATGGCCTCTATATATAGGCCTAAGAAACTAAAACAAGACACATATGCCCCTAAGGCTTACATAGGACGACCCTCTTAAGTGAGGGTAAAAACGAAAAATTCATAATAAAAAATTTAAAAATTACAAATAAAATATAAGATAACGTGGGACGATGATAGCCATTGATCTTCAGCTCCTCAAATAGCCATGGACGGTTGAATGTCCGCATCAGTAAGGCATAAGAAAAATATCTATAATACTTAATAAACAAAAATATATTGATTTCTTTATTTATAATCTATATGAGTGTAGCCTTCAATCTTTTCCATTATCTCGTCACACTCATTTCTTCTTTATTCTCAACATTAATTATTCGTTAATGCTCTTATACCTTCAAATGGTCCAATTAAACTCCTAGAACACAATATTGCTTCTCCAACCTTTAATCTTTCTTTTTCGGCATCACCTCATGCAAACCATCATCATCAAAAATTAACTGAACTTTTACATTTGAAATATTAGTATTCATCTCCATACTCATGGACATACGCCCACCTTACGGCATGATGCCCTACCAAAAGGTGCTCTCCTAGGCATGCAGAATGCCCACTTGAATGTAGTGTTAGATGCAATGACCTTGCATTGCCCTTGAGGGCCTAGGGGAGCACCCGACTCACCTTTAACCAAGGTTTAAAATTGTGTAAATAAGCCTCGATGCGTTTTTCGTCTGTGAGGCGAGGCGTAAGCCTCGAGGCGGTCTGAGGCGTAAGCCTCACAGACACAGAATTGCATAAATGAAAAATTAAGGGTTTTAGTAGGAAAATAATGGCAATATTGTATCTTACAATAAAAACATCTAAATGATATATGAAAATAGTTAAAAGTAAGAAAGTAGACGCAATAAAATCATGTCCCAAAGTACAAAATCACAAAATATTAGTTTAACAAAACTCCCAAAGTACAAAAAACATATAAAATGAAATCATATCCCATCACTAAAGCATGTACCGCTCAGTACCGAGCATGTATTGCTCAGTACCGAGCATGTACCGCTCAGTACCGAGCTTGTACCGCTCTGTACTGAGCGGTATTGGTTCGGTACCGAGCATTTACTGAGCGGTACCGAGCAGGTATTGAGCATTACCGAGCTTGTACTGGGCGGTACCGAGCTTGTACTGAGCGGACGAATGAAAGAAAGCCGAATCAGGAGTTATTCAAGCTTTCGTTACTGCACGTCAAAGTCAAGGCCACAACACCGCGTACCTGCTCTTCCGACCTAACCGATGCCTGAACGATTCCTGCACTCACAACTTCAGCTTCATTTCTTTCTTTGCGTCGTCTCCTTCCGACTTCGTCTCCTACACTCACGGCTTCGTCTCCTTCCCTCACAGCTTCGTCTATTTCCCTCACGGCTTCGCCTCTAATTCGCCTTTCAATTCTAACAGGAAGCCCTAATCCTATACACGAATACACGACTCAATGCGGACGCCTCGTCCGCTTTTTTAATGGTTGATTTTAAGTAGGTAAGACCATTTGGATGAGGCGTACGCCTCACCCATAATTGCGCAATTGAGGCGCGCCTCACACAGGGTGAGGCGTACGCCTCAATCAGTGTCCAAATTGCGTGCGCCTCGAGGCGCTTTTGGACAGAATTGCGCAGAGGCGCGCCTCTTATTGCGCAATTTTAAACAAAGCCTTTAACGACACTAAGATAAACAAAATCCCAATTATAAAGGAAAATTTTCCCTTTCTTTCTTCTTTTCTTCTCTTCTCACTTAAACTCACAATCAAAAGAAAGTGTTTACTTTCATTCTAATTACTTTCTTTTATCCTAGTATTGGAATTTTACACATAGAAACGCATAAACTAATTGGACTCAATGCCCATTTTATATCGTTAATCATAAAACTGTGATCTAATCTTCATTTTCAAATGCAAAAGAAAAATGCAAATAAAAAGAAGCTAGCCAACCCAAGTGCATCCTACCCTACCCGAATAAACCCCATAAATGCAAAAGATGTAGAATTTATAAGATTAAAGGACAAGGATGAAAAGGGAGGGAAAAGGGAGAAGGGGGCTTGGGCAGGCAAGCAATATTATAAGCAAAATAATATGATTTCCTTTATTGCTTTTCATCAATTGCAAATCAAGTAGGAAATTTAAAATAACCAATACTTTAAAAAGAATTTAATTTTGAATTCTGGGTGGGTTTGGTCCTAGTTTCTCATCCTCAATTTTAGTTTGGTCTAATATTTTCTTTTCAAAATTATAAATAATAATAATTATTCTCTTACCAATTTTTAAAGGAATATCAAAAGCTGAAACTTATATCATAGCAGAAATATGTTATGGTTTACTAATTTCATGGTTTTGAATCTCGAGTTTTGATGTTGAAAAATTTATTTTGTGATAACTCTATTGAATAATAAAGAAATTTATTGGGTTAAGCAATACAATATCTAAATCATATAATACTATGATAGAAAAAATGCGAGCTTTTATAGTTATCTAAATTTTTTTTATATATTTTCAGTGAACCATGCATGTCTTTTCTACAACAAAATGGCAATCAAAATAATTTTTTTAAAAACAATGGTTATTTAGCAACAAAGTGTGATCATTTGGTTATCTTTACAACATTTTAACTTGTAAAAATCTCTCAAAACTCTAATGACACGATTTTCCACCCATATTAGACTAGGTCCTTCCATTGCTTAAAAAAAAAAAACAATCACATTATATTGTAGGAATTGGTGAAATAGTCATGGTGAATAACATTCAATACAAAGATAGAAGATTACCTAGGCTTGAAAACTTATACTAGCTCAACCAAATATGCATTAGTAGCTCATGCCAAACACACTATAGTTTTATCTTGTTCTTCGCCAAATTTATCAACAACTTGCAAAGCCCATTTGGTCATACTAAAGATGCATGATTATAAACATGGATTCTATCCTATTCCCCGCAATTTCTCCCATTGGTAGTCCATGAAAGATCAATCCTTTTATAGCTTGAAAATAAAAAGCTAATAACCATTGTGAATTCCACTTGTATTATGAATTTGAACTGATTAGGATAATTACAATTAGGTTTTTCAAATTTAGGTCTAATATTCATTAAAATTCTTCAATTTTTCTTCTTTACCATGGATAACTTGAACTCACTTCAACTTTACATTACATCACCAACAAATCGTTAACTTGAAGCTGCAGGACCAAAATATCCTAATCATTGAGTCTTATACCATTAATACACTGCCAAACGTTGTTTTAACTGCACCACCGGCAGCTACAGGTGGCATACAAGACCGCTGGCTTGTGGCGGAGATGGCGCCAACAATGTTGTTGGCTCTTGGTGACAATGGTAACCAATGACTTTATAATTGCATAATAAGCGACGGTAATGGTGATTTCGTTTATTAAGATATCAATGCATGATTTGATAACGTACACAAAGAATTCAGGATTAAGTTGAAGAGACACAGAAGCAAAAAATTTAAAACTTGATACACCCAATCTTGACAAGATCCAAATTAAAGAAACCTATATATAATTTATCCGACCGGATATAATGTAATTAGTGGCCCAATCCCCAAAAAACACTACACTATTCATCTTCAAAGTTCAAAAATAGAATCTGAAAGAACTATAAATATTCAAAAAGGGGAACCAAAAACTGCTAGAAAATATGAGAGATGGTTGAAAATGGACTCCGCATAAAGCCATTAGCTAGATCCAAAATAGATCTGACTTGCCAAGACAGGCAACCATCCTGCTCACCCAGATTTTAAACCAACTTCCCATCTATCAACAGTAATAAATGGCATCGAAACCAAAGATAAGATACGAGAATCAGGAAGAGAGTACCGATACCAAGGTACCTGAAACAAGATCTTGACACGCTCGAGCGGGGCAACGGCGGTCTTGGCAACACCTCCTGCCACCCCTCCGGCGAGGAGCTCCTTGATGACGACGGGAGTGGACTCCTCGATCCCGTGGAGCACGCCCCTCGCCCCCTCCTCCCTTCCCCTATTCTCCTCTTCCACCATCTCTATCGGCTTGGCATGGCCGATGACGGCGGGAGTTCATAGGTGGGAGGAGGAGAAAGCCAATAACGGCATGGACTCTTCTGGGCAGAGATGAGAAGCTTCGCGAGGACGGCAATGGACGGGAGGCGACTGGTTCTTGGAGGAGGAGCAGGTTTGATCGTAGATGACGTGAGGGGCCCATCTACTGCATCAAAATTCGGGAAGGGGATATTTTGTGGCCTTTTTTATTATTTTTTTAATTTTATAATTTTATAATTTAGGTCAAATCTTGGGCTTCTTTAATTTTAATTAGTTAGATTATAGGAGTTTTTAAAAAGGGATATTTCTTTTTATACACTCCATAATTCATCTATTTGAAAGCATATCTTTTTATATTAAATATACTCAAAATAATTTTTTATCATAAACTTATGAATTATATATTAAATATTCATTTATTTCTAATAAGAGGAAGACATGATCCGAAAAATTTGAGCTCATGTTGAAATGTTTAATGAATGGTTGGGATTCCAGTTGACCCAATAATTTGATTTTGACCAAAAAATGGTATGTTTAATATTCTTTATTAAATTTTTTTATTACTTACTTAATCAATTAATCTAAAATCTATAGCAAAAAAATTAATATTTTTAATCAAAATGAATTATCAGGTCAGACTTGGATTGCTAGCAGGTTGGATTGGTATCCACTTTTTTTACCCATTTATTAACTGGTTGGATTCGGATTGATCGGATTCGAGTTAAATCAATTTTAGATTGAATCCAAACTCAAATCATTAACCCGTTTTGCCATTCAAATTTCTAACATTCTTATTTAGCAAAACTCTGCTTGAAATATTAAAACTATTTTAAACATTTTTTATTTCATTTTTTTCTCTGTGATCACTTCTTAGTTCATTGGGCATTTTATAAGAACGAGCCTGGTTAATCCAGCATTAAGGGAAAGGAGCAGATTTTGTAAGAAATTTAAAAATAAGCAGATGCGCTATCCCATTTGGCGCATTCAAAGAATGCACTTTAGAGTTTAGCGTGTTATTCATTTTTTTTTGGAGAATCAGTATGAAATGCGCCAAATGATTCGACGCATTCAAAGAAGAATGCGCGAAATCATTATGGCATTTCCTTGTTTTCCGTTTGTGCCATTTTAATCACACGAAGATAAAGAATATCATTGTGGTGCATCAATTATTTGAAGAGTGGCATCATTTCCTTAATGGAATAATCAATTATGATGCTATTTTGATAGATGTGTTAAATATATGTAAGCATGATTCCACAACTATAAAGATCGGCTATATAGATTGGAATTTGGAATTCGTAAATAATTAGAATTTAGAATAATTAATAATTTATAATATTAAATTTGTTGTAATTTATAATTAAAGTTAATATAGGTATAGTTATAGATTAAATTTTAAATTAAAATAAAAAATTATTTTATTTTAACATATTAACGTGAAGAAAATTATAAGAACTAAATTTATTTCATTTAATCTAAAGTAAATATAATAGTAACATTTATTTATTGTAAGTATTGTTAATAGTTTAAATAAATAAAAATAAGAAAAAGTTAATAGTTGCAATTATTAAAGAATAATTAAAAAGGCAATTTATGGAATACGACATTTTTCATAAAATAAATTATTTGTGTAAATAAAAAAAATTATCTAACTAGGGCCTTTCTAATGGGGATCTTAAAAAATAAAATAAAATAAACTAATACATATTGGATATTAAGTTGTAGTTAAAGTAAGATAGTAGTATAATAATATATATATTACTTTATTATTAAGCTTTAATTGTTATGTCAGAATATTTTTATAATATTTATTAATTAGCTCACATCATATTCTGAAATACAATAGAAATTTTAAAGTAAATGTGATATTATTTTAAATAGGTATGAGTTATGATATTGTGTTATAGTATCAATTCAGGTAAGCATTGCAATTAAGAGCAGCATAAAATATCGTTAAATTAATTAGCACATTTTACAATATATATCAATCATACATTCACAAAAATATGAAATTGAGAGCAGAATAAAGAAAATACATTATCATAACTCTTCTACTGATGATGTCGAAGAACTCTACTACTTAGAGTATATCTAACTAGGGCCTTTCTTCTTCGTTGTTGTAGTTGTTGCTTCTCAACAAATTCTTTTTCTTACTCTGGAACTTCTGGTTGATATTGTATTTCCTCACTGTATTATTGTGATGTTTGTCCTCCCATTAATAGTATATATTACTGCAAGGGAGAGGTCGGCAACCCAACACTTGACATCCACTCTGGTATAGCAATGGAAAAAAAATGAACATGTTGTGGGTTGTTGAGATGGTGTGCAATAGTATAATTCTTGTGCACCACTTTCTTGTGCACTGAATGGGCTCCAATATTATGTGGACGGTTCTGGCCAGTTGTAGTCGGTCGATATAGTATACATGGAAAGTCTAGGTGGTTCCATCTCAGTACTTCGATGGTGGAGGCTTCCCGTGGATTTAGATGGAGCATCAGGAGGTCAGCATCAAACATGAGATTGGGAGATAGAGATGGACTACAGCAGGTTGGATAGGCGGGTGATTCAAAGAATTGGAGATTCTGATTGGCGAATTTGACTAAGGTTGGCTAGATGAGGGTGTTATTGTAGAAACTGACAGGAAGTAACTCCGGCAAGAAGAGTCGCCGGAGCTGAGGAAGAAGAAGGAACGAATATCAAGAAATGCAAAAGGTATTTTATTATCTGATGATCCATCCTAAGTACAGACTACGATATATATAGACACTATTGGTACACGTGTAAAGAGCTTATTGGAAGAGAGCTCAGTTAGCCGTTGGAGGTTTTATTTCATGGTTCTAATACTGTACAACACTTTCTTGTGCACCAAATGGGCTCCAATGTTGTGTGGATGGTTCTAGCCCAATCATGTCGTAGTCGGTCGACATAGTATACATGGAAAGTCTAGATGGTTCCCTCTCAGTACTTTGATGGTGGCGGCTTCCCGTGGATTTAGATGGAGCGTCAAAGGTTGACCATCTTGCTCCATCAACAATATAAGAACCTGTTGCTTGTTCCGTTATTTGGCTCATCTCCTCTATTGTGGTGTCAAAAGTAGTGTAGTCGATGTGAACTGAACGTTGAACTCTAGTAGAAAGCTCCGTGACCTGGTCAACTGCTAACTATAATGAACTCGCATTTTATCCTTGCCCCCCGACCAACGGCTCTAGAATAACATTTGGTTCGAGCGTGAAAGACGGGATTGTGAGCCAAGGCGATGGCCGACATGTTATCACAGAGTAAGTCGATCGGTTGGTTATATGGGATGAGGAAGTCAGTGAGTAGCCGTTTTAGCCAGATGGTGTCTGCCGTTGCGGCAGCCAATGCGCGGTATTCCGACTCTGTGGATGATCTAGCCACTGTGTTCTGCTTTTTAACTGTCCAGGAGATGAGAGTATTGCCGAGGAAGGTACAGTGCCCGGTTGTGGATTTTCGGGTGTTGGGATCGCCAGCCCAATCTGCGTCGGAGTAGGTAGATAGAGTAAGTGGTCCTGGGAGAACGGGTAATCCGAGTTTCACCGTTCCTTTGATATACCGCAGCAGCCGCTTGAGCAGATAGGAGTGCTGTGGTGTAGGATCGTGAAGATGTTGAGCTAGGACGTTGACGGCGTGAGCGATGTCGGGGCGAGTTAAGGTAAGGTACTGAAGGGATCCCGTAACTCTTCTGTAAGTGGTTGGATCGGAGAGAGTATCGTCGGTTGGTATTTGGTCTGGTAATTTGGTACAAGATGGATTAGAGAGAGGATTGCATTTGTTTAAGTTAACGGAGCTTAGGATTGATTCGGCATAGGAGGATTGGGATAGAAAATACTTATCTGAGTGTTTCTGTATTTTGATGCCGAGGAAATGGTGTGCAGAGCCGAGATCTTTCATGCTGAATTGGGATTGTAGTTTCAGCAGAACGGAGGAGATGGCTTTGTCGTCGTTGCCGGTGACTAGGATGTCGTCGACGTAGACTAGTAGGAATATGCGTGTGTTGTCCCGGTTAAGAATGAGCAGGGACGGATCGGCTTTACTGTAATCGAATCCAAGCTGAAGAAGGTGGTTGGTGAACGTGGTATACCATTGACGGGGTGCTTGACGCAGGCCGTAAATGGATTTGATCAGTCTGCACACATGGTTGGGGTGATTCTCGTCGGTGAACCCCCGTGGCTGGTTCATGTAAACCGTGTCATTGAGCTGGCCGTGCAAGAATGCGTTTGAGACGTCCCATTGCTGAACCGTCCAGCCGTGGAAGAGTGCGACGGTGAACAGGACTCTGATAGTTGGAATTTTTGCTACGGGACTAAATGTCTCGGCGTAGTCAATGTCGTGTGCTTGCTGATTGCCCTGAGCCACGAGACGAGCTTTAAAACGTGCGATTGTGCCGTCCGCGTTAAATTTCTTGCGGAAGGTCCATTTACAGCCTAATACTTGAGCGTTGGGAGGTGGTGGTTCGAGACGCCAGGTGCCTTGCTTTTGGAGAGCCAAGAATTCTTCGGCCATTGCCTGCCTCCATTCGTGATGTTTGGCAGCCTCTTTAAAGCTTGTGGGATCGGGATCGTGGTCAGAGGCGTTGATGCTGTGTGCGAGGAGATTGAGACGAACTGTAGGTTTGAGTGAGCCGGTCTGAGTTCTGGTTGTCATATGATGTCGAACGGGGGGTATATGAGGTTGCGGAGATGTGGTGGGGGTGACTTCTGAATGAACGAGCTGTGCTTCCTGATTTGAGGAAAGAGTTGGTTGAGACGGGTGATGCGTTATTGGTGGTGGTGGAGTGGATGAGATTGTCGCCGATTGTGTTTGATCGAGAGCCGTGGGTGTTGGTAAAAGCATAGCAGGGGGAACTGCATCTTGTGGATCCTGAGAGAGTATAATGTTATTAGCGAAAGGAAAAGAATGTTCAAAGAATTGTACATGGCGAGAAACAAAGATTTTGTTAGTCTCCCTGTTAAGGCACTTGTATCCTTTGTGTGTTTCCGAGTAACCGAGAAAAATAAAGGAGTTTGATTTCGGTTCCAGTTTGTTGTGCAGGTGTTGTGGTAACAGTGGGAAGCATTCGCAACCGAACGTCTTCAGGTGATGATAGTCCGGTTTGATGCTGAACAGTAACTGCAATGGTGACTTGTTTTGAGTATTCGGGGAGGGCATTCT